AGAACAGATGCCCCAACATGCTCCAGTGCATGTCTCTTTCTCCTCTCGGCTCACACCGTCAGCCTGCTCTGACCTGGAAATGTGCGGCGGGCCGCATTGCATGCGTTCAGAAAGATGCAAGTGCGTCCTGTCGCCTCGTGGCATGTCACCAAAACGACTTCTCTCCCCCTTGCATGCGCCTGCGTTTGTCTCTCTGGACCCGTCTCCTGCCTGCAATCTATCCAGGGACAACCTATGCCAAAATAGGCCAAGGGCATCTCTCTCTCTCTTCCCGTGTGTCTTCGGCACCTTTATAAATAAACTCATTGTCCTCTATGTGCCTGCAGTTGACGGTCAGGCCAATTAGAGAGGGCCCTCTAGGAACCCCGGGCCCCTGTCGTGCGTCAGCCTCTCAGAGACGGGGCCCCGGTGGACAGATACCTGCCAGCGCACCCCAAACTTAGCTGACCCACCGTGCCTTAAAAGGGAAGAGGTGCAGCTGCTCTGTGACGTGTGACGTTAAGCCTTCGGCATGACGTCTGGTGAAGCAGATCGGATGTGTCAGGTCGTCCTGCTGGATGAGTGTGTGCTGCTGCTGCTGTATGTGTCAGACACATCTTGCCGGGTTATTCTTTCTTTATTATGTTCAAAGGGATAGTTCAGCACAAAATGAAAACTGTCATCATTTAGACCCAAGTATAAGTCGCTCTGGGTCAAAATTGCATTGTTGAGAGAGAAAAAAAAAAGTTGCATGCGGAGTTATTATAGTATTGTTTATTTAGTATTATAATTTTTATTACAATTTTATATTAGCTTTAATTATTATATTTTCAGTTTAACAATTAGTCATTTTATGTGCTTTCGCCATGTTAATTCGTTTTTTTATATTTCTATTTAACTTATTTTTACTTTAGATTTAGTCATTTTAATAAATAAAATTATATTTAGTATATAAAATTTGTTTTTTATCTCTTAGTTTTTATTTGACTTCTGATTCATTAACAAAAACTATTTTTATTTTTATTTTAGTTTTACATTTAATTTTTATTTATTTCCAGTTAGTAATTATAGTGCTTCAACTTATTTCAGTTAGTTGCCAAGGCAACATTTCTAGAGTTCGTGTAATTTAAAGTTTTTATCATATTCATATTTATTTTATTTCAGCTTTATTTAGTACCAAAATTATTTTTTAATAGTTTTAGTTTTGGTTAACGATAATAACCCTGTCACATAGGTATGTATGTAAGTCACATTTTATTATTACATTCAGAAATAATGTAAAATACTTATAAATTAAAAAAAAGGTTTAAAACATACTAAACATGTATTTTAGTTCCTCTCACTGTACAATAAATCCTTTAAATTGAATGGTATTCAGAACAGGAATGAAAAATATAAGTATAAAAAATATATAAATTATAGTGGCATTCATTATAAGCAACATTTATTATACACAGTAAGCCTAAATGAATTTATTTAACGTGAAACTGAAATGCTCTATACAAATAAACTTGGGCTCAGTTACTTTTCTCATTCAGCACAAATCCAGATGTGTGCACTTTTGTTTTGCATGCTTGACATTGATTGTATTATGTTAGTCGTTTTGGAATATAAGCACAGAAATGTGACTTAAATTCTGGGAAATATGGTACTCACTTTTTTCCCCCATGAAAATCAATATTCTACAAATATCTTCTTTTGTGTTCCATGAGTAAATGATGACAGGATTTTCATTTTTGGGTAAACTGTCCTTTTATGAAGAATGACCCTTCAAGTAAATGTGCCAGTCCATGCATGTTTGTGGTTAAAGTGCCTAACCAAATGTTCATTTAATATCCTTTTCCAGTTCACACAATAGTTTGACATCACAGTGAGCTTTGACGTTTAGTGCACATTCCCATGGTGACCATCCAAGTTAAATAGCCTTCAGACTGGTTTGGTTGTATTCTCACAGCGTTGCAGGTTGGTTATTAGAGAGTAGGAGGTGAAGTAATACGGTATATCCGTTCTGTCCCTCCAACTCTCCTCTGGAGGACGGATCACAATACACTACTCCGACAGTATCGGCTAAGGCTCAGGTATCTTTACGCACCCGTGTGGTCTCGCACTTATGCAGAAGTGCATTAGGATGAGAACGTGCTAATGGAACTGATGTAATACTGTGGCTTTACTCGTGAATCTGAGGTCAAAACAGGCCAAATCCCACAAAAGGACAGAACACGTCTCACTGCAGGAGAAGCGAGCGGTTTTCCAGTCTCCCCAATGTCTCATTTGCTGTGCATTACTAGACATCAAGGGGTTTGCTTAGTGATGTTCACCATGCCGGTGCATTTGAGAGTCCCTGACCTCTTATTTTTGTCTTAATAAATGAGCAAATGTTCGGTGTTGCATCGCAGTACAGCAAGAGAAAGTCAGCAGACAGAAGTCACGCATGTGAAAAAGACAAAGGTTATGGTCTTAATTCTACTTTACTGTACCGTGACAGGAGGGGAAATGTGTGTAACACATACATTTATAGCAAAGACTTTCAGGACTTCACACTGAAGCATCTGGCTGCAGAACAAGGGGTCATTGATTTCTGCATCTCTCTTCTATCACCAGCTCTTCAAGGTCAGTCAGTCTGAGCGTTTGCACTCATGGATATTAAGGGACCTCACTGAGTCATGCCTCTCAAGTCAGGGTTGTGCAATATTCAGAAATGAATGGAGAATGCCTTTTAATTCCAATCAAATTCTAGAGTTTGAATCAAATTTGCATCAGGCTGCAGGATTGCAACTTTAATTTCAGGAAGCAGAATTAATAAATGTAAATGCAATTCATGTAACTGTAATTTTCAACAAGAAAACCATGAGTGTGTTAGGACAAACTTTGAATCTTGACTTTTTCAAACTTAAACAACACTTTGTTTTTGATGGATGGATGGATGGATGGACGGATAGATAGATAGATGATACATACATAGAGAGGTGCTTTAAGTGCTATACAAATTAGTTCATTATCAGAGTAGATTAGATTAGATCAGAGTCAGGTTTGTGAATTTTGCACAACTTCTCAAGTCTTGAGAACAGTGATGCCAAAGTGTAAAACAGGAAGGAAAAGAAGTTTCTTGCTCATAGACCTCAAAGCAAGTCACACCATGTTCAGCTGAGATCAAGTAACTCACTCTTGAGTACAGGGCGACTTCTTGCTGTTTAGCAGGTCACTTTATATCAAACCATTCATATGTGCTTCAGCAAACCTGTTTCCAGACTCTGGAGCTGTCATTGCTTCTCAGACAAGATGATGTGGCAGTCTGCAGTTGTGTTTTGCTAGTCGTGGAGCGGTCTGGATTGTGTTAGCGAGCAACACTGTAGGTGCATTTAGATCTTCACCAAGCTGACTGCTCTCATCCTTTTTAGGAGAGGAATTTAAGCTTGTTCCCCACAATTACAGATAGTCATTTATCATTGTATCTCTTCCTCTGACCTCTGCTCATCGTTTTCCGCTGGAAAGGCCTCGTGCTTCTTGGGATTTGAAATCGGCGGTGTATGTGCACGAATACACGTCTGTCTCAGTGATGCAAACAGACCTGCTCTTTTGTTCGAAGTCGAGAGCAGCAGCATTCCAGACCCACGTGTTGTCGCTGCTTCACCCATTTAGGCTTTTTAGGAAACTGCTGCTTATCCTTAAAGAGACGTGTGGAGTGAGTCACTGGGGATTTGTTGTGGTTTCAGATGGGGATGCTCGCGGGGAAACTCGGTCACCTGATGAATCACCACCAGTGATGTCACGAGTACCTCACAGCGGCGATTAGCCGTCGAATAGCCTCTTAACACAATGGATGGGATTACAACAGCTAAAGCCAGTGACAGTGTCCACCTGTGCACTTAGAGGGAAACCCCTGTGCTAGCGCAGGTCATTATGATAAGCAGCTGTCCCCGTGTGTTCACCAACATGCTCTCTCTGGTCCACCTTCATGTGTGCTCAGGGCTGAGGTGACGAGCGGCATCTCCTGCCGGCCGTTTACAAGGTTTCGCTCACATTTGCAATGTAAATGTATTTAGGAGCACATGTGGGAATAAAACGACTTAAATTCCATTGCATTTCAACCTTAAATTCCATTACATTGCAAAACTGCATTTAAGGTTGAAATATCTTAAACGGTATAACAAACGTCTTAATAATCATTTTAAGAAATCTTACACTTGGATAGACAAAACAGGATTCTTTATACATGTTATTTTTAAACTTCAAAAGGCTATGATTTCATTAAATAAATATGAGCGCTGCATGTTTCAAAGTAGAAACACGCCGCTGTTGCGCATTCTACAGACTCGCGGTTTCAGAACAGGTCACAATCAATGAATATTGCGCATTTATGCCAAACGATTGCTTATGATTTACTGTTGGTTATGGTGTTTTTATTGTAATATGTTGTAGATGGTTGTAAGAAAGCATCTTTTGTGTCACATCATCTTTGTGAATTTCAATAGACATTTCAAAATAAGAGTCCTGCTTGGGCTTGTTTCTAATTAAAAGTCCTACATTAAGCATTATTTTTTTTGTAAATTTTTTTTTTGGTGGTTATTATTGGTATACACATCTCGGCCAAATATTGTCCTATCCTAACAAACCATACATCAATGTGGAAAGCTTATTTATTTATGTATATAAATCTCAATTTAAAAAACTGACCCTTCTGACTGATTTTGTGGTCCGGGGTCACATATGTACAGTATGTAATTAAGTAGAGTTTGAAGCAGAAATATTTAAAAACTTTTAAATATTTAAATGTTTGAGCAGAAATATGTAAAAACATTTAAAGTGTACTTTTCGTATTCTAATAAATTAAATAACTTTTGTAACACATTATATGATACATTTGTATTGCACCCAACTTGGGTGCACATGTGCTTCTTGGGGAAATGCAGGCATCAAACCCTGATTTTGGGGAAGAGCACTGTATTTTTTGACTAAACTTACTGTGTTTACGCTAACATTTCGTTATTGGTTTCATAACGCCAGTATCTCTTTCTTTGTAGCTTTGACGTGGACAATGGCACGTCGTCAGGACGGAGTCCCCTGGATCCCATGACGAGTCCGGGTTCGGGCCTGATCCTTCAGGCCAACTTTGTGCACAGCCAACGGAGGGAATCCTTCCTCTACCGCTCTGACAGCGACTATGACCTGTCGCCAAAGTCGATGTCCCGAAACTCCTCCATCGCCAGTGACATGTGAGTACTGGAACCGTTTAAAACCATGTGCCATTCTCCCATAACCCTTTACTTTATTTTGGGTCAGTCAAGTTTTATTTGGATTTTTTTGGACTGACTTTTGTTTCACTGAGCAAAAGCACACTAAAATGAGACGTCATGCTTGTATTGTGATTCAGCGTAATTTCATTTGTTCATGCAGATATCTTACAGTTTTTTTTTCTAGTAACCAAAAAGAGTTCAAGAATACTTTCTGTGATCTGATTTGATATAATGTCTTAAAACAGATAGAATTACAGGTTGAAAAGGACCAGTTAGCCCACATATATGTTCTGCTGTCTCATCCATTGATGGTTCCCTGTTGTTTGAGTGTGTGTGTGTGTTTGTGTCTTTATATGTAGTACATGTACATGTGTGTGGTCATCAGTGATATGTTGTTTGCCCCCAGGTTACACGTCTCTAACATCAGTCTCTCTCTCTCTGTCTACATCATTTCTCTTTCTCACACACATTGAAGAGAGTAAGAGTCTTTACAAACCTTTATTACATACGTACATTTAAAAAAAAAATAGAATTGATACTTTTATTTACTAATGATGACTTATATTGATCAAAAGTGACAGTAAAGACATTTATAATGTTACAAATTTTTTAAAATACATTTCAAATAAATGCTGCTCTTTTGAACTTTCATGAAGTTTCATTAAAAGAATCATAAATAAAATATCATGGTATCATGGTTTACACAAAAATATTAGGTATTAACCGTTTTCAACATTGATAATAATCAGAAATGTTTCTTGAGCAGCAAATCAGCATATTAGAATGATTTCTGAAGATCATGTGACACTGAAGACTGGAGTAATGATGCTGAAAATTCAGCTTTCATCACAGGAATAAATTACATTTGAGAATATATTCACATAGAAAACAGTTATTTAAAATTATAATATTTCGCAATATTACTGTTTTACTGTATTTTTGATCACATAAATGCAGCTTTGGTGAGTATAAAAGACTTCTTTAAAAACATTAAAAATTGTACTGACCCCCCAACTATTGAACGGTAGTGTGAATATGGCATTAAAGGAGTATTTCAGGTGCAAACTCACCCTCATATCATTCCAAATGCGTGACTGTGACGTATAAAGCCACAGTTTTACAGTGTTTTCTCTTCTTCTGAGAGTTTGGTGGCCACAGTACACTTTAATCATCAAGTTTGGATTGACATGAAGGTGATCTTTGAGTGAACTATTCCTTTAATACGACATGAAAAAAGCCTAAGTAAGTCAGTGAAGAACCTGAGAGAGACTCAAATGACTCTTTAGCGGTTCGCTGACCGTGTCTCTTTAGAGACAGTCTTTCAAAACAGCCACTTCTCAAACCACAAAGGCAGAGGAACCAATGTGTGTGATGCGCTCTGTATGTATGTGTGTGTGTATGTGTGTGTGTGTGTGTTTGTCTGACAAACTTTGTCCTTATCGATAGGAATAACCACCTGCCGAGACCGGGCCTGGTCTCTCGGAGATCTGAGCCGGTTATTAGTGGAAAGTAAGTTCTGGTTCTAGCTCGCCTGTCCTAAAGGCAGCTCCTGGCCTTGCTCTTCCTCAAGGAATGCTCTTGCTTGTCTATTCTGCATCACCTTGCTTCACCTGTAGACGCGAGCATCACAGTCTCACATGCATTGAGAACCCTCACCTACACCCTCACCATTTAATGTGCAGAATGACGACCAAATCAACTTGCGATGGGACAACAAATAGTAGTTATCAGGTTGATTTGATTGGTTGACAATTCTGGGCATTAAAACCTCTGTGTGTCGTAAGAGTGTAGGGGTACGTGATGAGAGATACCGCATGGAGAAGACAGAGTCTGGATGACATGCCGCTTGTGGCTCGGACGTGTGTGTGAGTGCGTGTTTGTCAGTCTCCATCTTTGCCATGATCCTGCATTGCATGTGACACTGATACTGGTAGTTCAGAGGTGCACATGAGACTATTATTATTATTATTTCCTCCAGTCACCGTGAATGCATTCACTCTATTGTGTCGCATAATTTAATGTTCCTCAGCAGATTGATCTAATAAGCAATAAAATGCTTGACATTTAAGAGAAGATGGATGCTTTGTAAACTCTTACGTCAAACATTGAAATTGATGAATTAGATTTTGGGCTGCGTTCGTCACATTCAAACAATAGCGGGAGCCAACAGTACTCCAAAATTATCATTTTTATTTTATAATTATTTTTATTCATTATTATAAACATTTTTATTAATACTTCTCAGTATTCAACAGAATATATTTATAATCAACATTTCTCTCACTTCTATTTTTTATATATATATAAATGTATAAAATATACAATTAATATTTTTTATTTTATTTACATTTTTATTAATGCTTTTTAGTATTCAACGATGTATTTATAATAATTTATCTCACTTTTTATAATGTATAAAATTTATAAAATATATATTTTATAATTATTATTATTAATTATTATAAACATTTTTATTAATGCTTCAGCAATACTTTCTAATTTGGCCAAAATGAAACCCCTTACGAGTTTATGCATGCTACTTCTCTTTTGGGATAACCTTTGCATTTGAAGCACACTCGACAGCTTAAATTGCTGCTTCACATAAGTTTTGGAACAGAACGTGAGAATACAACAGCATAGAGGTGTAATTATTGAATTATATCAGTTCAGATGCATGATAAAACAAGCACATGAACAGCAGAACGATCAAACAGCCCAGATCGTATGGCTAAAGCAAATGCAACGGTGATGAATGATATCACAGGAAATTGTCAGATCAGTGCACGTCCTCTCTCTGGCCTGATTTTTGCAAGCTCAGAGCGTTTCTCTATGTAACCCTGCACCGGCTCATGCATTATGTAAAGTCCCGAGGGATGGCGGACGCACGCTTTCGTTTCATTCCGCCAGAGAATCCATTCTCAACCCGGAATGGCAGGAAATATCATGTCGGTTTCTGATATTACCCTCTACAACTGCTATTGGAGTTTTAGAAGTTCATTGGTCTTTGGAATAGCTGTATTGCACGTAATGTACTGTAATGATTACTGCTGGAAAGTCTGATTCATTTTTGTTCAGTCACTTTGTTCTCAATTCAATTAACAGGTTCCAAGTCACCATCACTTATTTTTGATAGTCAAACACATTTGGTTTTAGGGGTGGAGCGGTTTGCGGGAAAAAATCAAACCGTACGCTTCTCCACACACGGTTCGGCACGCACTAGGACCATGGTTCAACTTCAATCTGACAACGCATTTGTAACATGGTTTGCTATAAATAACACGTAAAACAAACAGGGTTTGGCTAATATATGTTTCTGTTGATGGATGCGCATTCTGGCTTCCCAATACATTACAACAACAGCGATAAAAAAAAAAAAACGTGGACAAACCATTCACTCTTGTTCAATGCGAATACCGTATGCTGGAATATGAACAGTCATTTATTCCGTCATCTCCCGGGTGCTGATAGCGCGCGCACAGGTGAGACCTGAACAGCACACGTTGATATCAGGGTTTAAGCTAAACTCGTTTAAAGCTTAAACATTTAAGAGCCAGAGGATGCAAGCTCACGCGCGCAGTAAGAAGATTTGTGCGTGCGCTCATCCAAAGCGCGCAAACCCGCACCTCAGAACGCGCGCAAATATTAAGCTTTCTCTGAAGTATTGTGTTTAAATGGACAAATTCACACAAAAATTATGTCAAAATGCCCATCTTGGTAAGTATCCTATAGCAGACATAGCCGGCTGAACGTACTGTATCAGTGCATTCTCTTAAAGTGACAGCACTTTCTTAATGTTAATCAAACAGCAATGCTGTTTTACATGTCATTACTTTATTCAATTTCTGTACCTGAAAACGAATGTTAGACCTACCTACAAAATCTGAAAATCACTGTTTATTTTATTTGTATCTTTACTCTATTGTATTTATTTGTGCTGTTGCTTGTAGTTAGATAGATTATTCTTATTTTCTTTATTTTTATTTGACAGTATAGTTTTTGCCTGAACATAGCACATACCGAACCATACCGAAACCGTGACTCTAAAACCGTGATACAAACCGAACCGTGAGTAAGTTGAACCGTTCCACCCCTATTTGGTTTTGTTCAAAAGAATAACTAATTTTTAATTTGAGGCCTGAAACATACACGTCTACATGTTTTCTAGGTATGCAAGCTTGATTTCACGTGTCATTTCGTTCCAAAATGTCATAAAACAACTCATAACAACTCAAGTACGCGTTGCATTCTCTGTGCTGCCACAAGAGGCGCTAAAGTGAGCATTAACATGAACTATCTTACATCTATGGTCAGTTTTCTCTTTCAGTTCAACTACTGTCATGATGGAACAACTGTTTGAAATTGATCTTACTAAGAAAGCTAGTAAAGCTTGTTAAACCGTTTTTGTAGTAGCTGCCTGAATAATAACACATCTGATTTAATTGCACATTGCAAGAAAACTTTTTTTAATTAATTTCTTTTCCTTTTCGTACCTTATTTTAGTACCACTGAAATACTCTTATAGTCGCATGCACTAGTGTTGGGTCGTTCTTGAACGATTCGTTCATTTTGAACGAATCTTTAATGTGACTCGGGAAGAACGAGTCGTCTCAGGGAGTGATTCGTTCAGTCGCGCATCCGCAACATCCTATAGGTTCTGTACTGGAATTAGTCAAGTAGTTCACCTGTTTCGAGTCTTCGGGTTTTTCGAGTCATTCGTTCATCACGTGACAGCCCCATAAGTTTAACCCATGCAGTCTGAGCCGGAAAGAGAATTGATTAGTTCATCTCTCGAGTCTTCGGGTTTTTCGAGTCGTTCGTACATCACGTGACAGCCCCTTAAGTTTAGCCTATGCAGTCTGAGCCGGAAAGAGACTTCTTAATAATAACCAACTCTTTATTTCCTTTGTTACAACATTCAGTGTTCACATTCAGACTCAAAGGTCCGAGTCGGTAAAATGATCCGAACTTCCCATCACTAGCATGCACGACCAAAATAAACAATGCGCTGGGTAAAAATGCACATATACTTGCCGGCAACCTGTCAAAATAAAAGCTTGCTGATTTTAGGTTTGAAAATGTTGAACCTGAAAGACCTACCAGTGAGACTGAAGTGGAATCCCTGTGATACCCAGCGATGAGAGGGCGGACAGGAGGATCTGGTGATTGACAGTGTCAAAAGCAGCAGATAGATCCAGCAGAATAAGAACTGATGATTTGGAATAAGCTTTTGCCATTCGTAAGGCTTCCGTAACTGACAGTAATGCAGTCTCAGTTGAATGCTTTCAGCCTCACCCTGCTTCATTCTACTACGTTAATAAATCATTAGCTCATCCATGAACATGATTTCTCCCGGGGTCCCGTCGGATTGCATCGGCTTTGGGGATGAAGACGACAACTCCCATGATTCCACACTCAGTCACTGCGTCATCAAACTACGTCTTTGTTTGTTTCGAATATGCGCCCTCTAGTGGCGAAAAATGACATATTGTGCCTTTAAGGAGGAATTTACAAGGTTGCTGAATAAAATTAAAAAGAAAATTTTTTGTTTGCATCATATTCCTCATTTCACACCACATTTCCCCTTCAAATCAGGACAGTCAGGATAATGAGCAAAGGAGACAGGTAAAAAAAAAAAACTTGCTGTAAGACAAGATCATTCGTAATGTTTTTCAGGTGGGATCAGGCTGCTGCCTACCTAGTGAACACTCAGTATCAGGTTATTTAAGTACACAGTCAGCAGCGTTTTTGGGCATTGTAGGCACAACATGACCCAGACCGGGCTTTTGATGCCCAAAAATGCCATCTAGACAAGCAGCTAACTAGCTAAATACCCTAGTACTTGATGGAAATGTTTAAAACTCATGCAGTTGATTTTCTATCATTTTGTCTTTTATCTTTTTGTTCTTGACTTCTTTGAAGCCTTTGAAGTTTTTCTTCTTCTTTATCTTCACTATTGTTGCATAATGAAAGTTTCTTGAATTTTAAATACTATTCCGAGCATTTTTCAGTGGAAATGACACTTTTCAAGTGACTTTTGGTGTGAAATCTTCTTGTACACAATTAGACATGAGCAGCATGTGTGATGCTAACTGAATGTTATGACATAAAGTCTAATGGTGAGATCTGAATTAATGGAGGTGGTCCACACACTGGTAGTGAACATTCACTAGCATTGAAAGCATTAATGCAAGCGTGTCCCTGCCTTGTTGTCTCTTGTCACACAGACAAACCATATCTCATTCCTCCTGAAGGACCAAACGCAAGAAAACCATGCAGTTGTTATCTGTGAATCTTTCTGAGAAAAATCTGCACTTTTATTAATGATATGGTTTGTTTGTTATGACAAATGCATGCAACATTATAAACATGCGTATCACGCGTTAAGAGAGTCATCATTTTCTTTGGCATTGTAGCTGAGGTGTGTATGTCACACTGCTGATTTTCTGACATTGTCCGTTCTCTTGCAGTCATGGAGATGACCTCATCGTTACACCGTTTGCACAGGTCAGTGACACAGGAAGCAGTTCAGGGTGAATTCTCTCATCCAGGCCCTTCTGCACTGCTAAAGTCAACATGAAACTCTTTTGCAACCAATTTTACTGCCATAATATGACGTATCACACAGTTCAACAGGATATAAAGTGAGAAACATTGCAGGGAAAGACTTTTATCCATAATGAACTGACTGAAGTTAAACATTTTTGTTTTTGGATAAACATGCAGAAGTGAATTGTGCACAAAAAGTTAGGCAATGCATGTCATCTTGACTTTACACCATATTTAATCATACAAAGAATGCATTTTTATAGTTTTCAACATCGTATTTCAGCTTCATGTGTGATTAAAGCCTCAGAATTTGAAGGAAGTTTCACAAATACTAAGTTTGTCCTTAATATTCAGTTAAGGTTAAATGTCAAATACATGTTACTGACCTCAGGTGTTTTGCTCTTCTCTTGAAGGTGCTGGCTAGTTTGAGGACAGTACGGAATAACTTTGCAGCGTTAACCAACCTCCAGCAAGATCGTGCATCTAACAAGTGAGTGCAGTTACGTCAATGGACCATTGTTGATGTGCATAAGGAGCAGAAGAGGAAAATCACCTGATACTTTGACTGCAAGAATCAAATGTATTAATATCTATAATTTTCACAGGCGATCTCCGATGTGTAATCAGCCTCCTCTCACAAAGGCCTCCTTCACAGGTGAGATGGTTTCCCTTTGGTTTTTATATTATTTCAGGAATTTAATAGTAATTAACTTAGATTTTAAACCTCTTCACTCTCTTTTGCTCTCCATTTAATCCAATTATTTATGGAGATCTCAGTAGTGTTTGTTCTTTCCTGTTGGTTGTGAAGGATTCGGTACTTTACTGCTGTCATAGAAGCAGTAAACCTCTAGGGAGCGACAAAACACCTTTTATTCATGCAGTAACCTCTTTTTTTTTCAGCAAGGCTGCTCAATTTTGCAACGCTAGCGTTTAACTTAATACACATTTCTGCATTACTGTAGAAAAGAGATGCACTACATGGCCAAAAGTTTGTGGACATCCAGTGGAAAGCCTTCCTAGAAGGTTGCAAGCTGTTATTAAAGTCCAGTAGTTTTGAAATTACATGCTTTAGATGGTATCCCATTGGTTTTGATATTATTTCAGTAATTTAATAATAATAAACTTAGATTTTAAACCTCTAAACTGAATTAATATCAGTCTAAACTGTGTATTTAACTCTGTTGTCTCGTGCTTTACATGTGCTTTTCACTGCAATTCTGATTGCAGTCTTTGGCAGATCTGAGCTCAGTTTGAGATTTGAAACACTAGAGGAGACGCATGAGATAACTGGGGTGTTTTTCTCAGGGGAAACATCTGAGAAGCAGATCAACACCACATTAAATAACCAATCATTTTGACGTTAGATGCTTATAAAGCACTAATAGGTCTGGTCTTTGGGCGTATGCATGCTCATGTCCATACATTGCATATAGATGCATGAGGAACACGTCTTCCAAAAGAAGTAAACATAACCTGCTTCGACATTCATGAATCTTTCACCCCATTCGAATTGTGCAAAGCTGTTATTAATAGATGTGGCGCAGCTGGCAGCCCACATGATACTCGCAAACGCACGCCATCTCGCTTTCATGCTCGGCCAGAGACTTGCTTCCAGTTTGGGAAAGCACGTGTTGGCGTCTTGCTGGGACTCGCAAGATGAGTCCGTCAATCAAGATGCTCCCCATCACTTGTCCTTCACGCAAATGTCTGATATGGAAACTGTCATAAATGCACACAACACTTCCCCAGTTTAGTGCACATGCTAACTGTGTATTCAGGCCATTTGAAAAATCTAAGTTGCACTTTCCTCAGTGGCACCTGCCGATATGGACTGATTCGGTCCATTATCGGCTCCTTCTATATTTAGCAGCTGCTTAAAACACAGAGGTCCCGCCCCTTGCTTTCTAAAGATCTGACAGCGGTTGCCTGGCAACCTGACGGTGGATGGCATAAGCATCTCAAAAAGACTCAAAAAGAGTCTCATGAGAATTACCTGGTTTTCCACAGGGGCGCCTCTCCGAACGTGGGGTCTAGGTGATCTCGGGCTGCTTTTCTAAAGGTGTTTGCGTCAGCCTGAGGCTTCTGTCTCCCACGGCTGCTTTCTCGCTATTACTGGAGAGGTCTTTTGTATTTCAAGACTGCCGATCCACTGAGGGGTGCTTGAGTGAAATTTGATTAACTATATGGGTCAGTCGTTTACTAGAGAAATGCCACCACTGAGATGTGGTTTTTATTGATTTGAATTCAGCATAATTTAGCAGCAAAATAAGTGAAACATCAGGTTTGGACATTCTGGAAATAGTCAAATGGGTTTACCAGGTGTTTTTTGTATCATATTTTCAGAAAGAAAAAGTCATGTTTCACTACAAAAGCAAACAGTTTAATTGGAGCCTATTTTATGACCATAATTTGCAAGCTTGCTTATTTGTTTGTTTATTTGCCTTCAATTTAAACAATATTTAAATAAATATTAAAATACTACATAATACTACTAATACTATTTAAATACTATAGAATATCAATAAATTGTATAATAATTTTTATTAGATTTAACATTATTGTCATTGTTATTATATATATATACACACATATGGGTCGGTAAGATTTTAATTATAAATGCTTTTGAAAGTCAAGTGCTCACTAAGGCTGCATTTTTTTATCAAAAATACAGTATAGGCAGTAATATTGTGAAAAATTATAAATATTATTACAATTTAAAATAACTATTTTCTGTTTAAATATATTGTAAAATGTAATTTTCAGCATCATTACTCAGTGTCACATGATCCTTCAGAAATCATTCTGATATGCTGATTTACTGCTCAAGAAACATTTCTGATTATTATCATATAATTGAAAACAGTTGTGCTGCTTCATATTTTTGTGGAAACCGTGATGCATTTTTTTCAGGAATATTTGAAAGAACAGAAATAGATTTGAATGTAAGTTTATTTGAAATAGAAATCTTTTGTAACATTATAGAAGTCTTACTGTCACGTTTGATCAATTTAATGCATCTTTGCAGAATAAAAGAATTAATGTATACATAGCACCTTAAGGTATGATTCGGATAAAATTCAAACAGTTTTGATTGTTTTAAAATAGGCTTTTATGCTCTAAAATATTTAGATTTTGAGTTGAAAAATGACCCGGATATTTCTTGACCAAGGGAAGCACCAAAATCTTTTTACTCTCTGAATTGCTTTATTTTAAAACGGCAGCTTTTATTTAGTGTCTAGCCTGCAGTCAGAGAGTGTGTTTGCTCGTCTCTGGCGTTCCTCTCTTGTGGACTCCACTCCAGAGTTTGGCTGCAGTCCTGTCCTGCTCTCAGTCACAGCAGCTTCTGAGGGGCCGGCCTCTGGTGTCGCACTGAATACAAGAAGAATGCCATTGACATCAGAGGAGATGTTGTCAGCAAGGACAGTGGACCCCTGCTCTTGAATTCTCCTCAGAGTGATTGGACAGCCATTTGAGGAGAGGGCTAAAGAAATGGGGGGGTTGGGTTAGAGAGGATGCCACACATGATGTGATCCTTTCCCTCATTTTTCCACCCTTTTCCCTTCTTAAACCTTTCATCTATGCGTTTTCTCTTTCTTTGTGGGGCTAGAGGGTCACCAAGCTGTTTTTTCCTCCCTGACCCTTGAATTATGATAGACAAAGCTGCTGCTGACCCGAGTGTGTTGCATGCTCTGAGTCAGAGCTGAGCTGAGCGTGCACAGCGCTGACACACGCAAAGCTGCATGCCAAATTTTCTCAGTATAGTACTCTAAAGGTTGCTCCGTAACAATAGCACCAAGATCCTGTGACCTCTGAAGTGCGTGTTGTGATTGTGTCACGCTTGTTTTGATGAATGCTCTTCTTGTAACTTTAACTCTCCTCTGTGTAACTCAATACACCCGAGTAGAATTGCAACATTTTGTCGGCACAGTTTGAGTTATTGTTTATCGGCTGTGCAGTATGAACATATGCACATCTTGTGACGCAGGTTAAGGATTTAAATGCACTAGTCATAACTGCACAGCCCCGACATAATCCAGGATTATGAAAAAATGAAATCTGGCCCCGAACGGATCACATTGGTCCCATAACAAGGATTAATTTTCAGTGGTTATCTGCGTAGATTGACTGTCACGTAATCTTCGAGCATCACAGTGAATGAATCTGCGCAAATCAGCTAAAGTAAACAACCTCCCAGGAGCATTCTGGGACATGAAAGAGCAGTTGCTGTCATGAGTAAAGCCACCTCTCCCATCTTCCCCCATTCTGAAGCTAGTGGGACTCCTGTGGATGTGGTTGTTTGCTGCTGTTGTTTGTTTAGGGCTGCTTATACTTTAGATATGTACTTGTACACTTACACTATCTACTATTTTTTACTACTTTTAATTTTATTATTTTTAGTTTTGAAATCACATTCTTCATAAGTGAATTTAGGCATCTAAATGTCATAATTTACCATAGAAAATATGTAAACACAATAAAAAAGAAGAATTGTTTAATACTTTTGAAACATTAATTGAAAAGGAGCTTATTTGGAGGAAAAAAAATTATAATAATATTATCTAATAATATTATTTTATCTATATCAGCCTAATAAGACTTTATAATGCATCTCAAAATTTTTATTTTTACATTTTTATTAGTGATTTTGGTTCAGGCCAATTAGCCCATATATAGTATCAGTATTAATTGTTTATTGTTTTATATATATAGTTTTTATTGATTTATTGGCCCATATTTGGCCATTTTGTGATTATCAACTAATTTAATTTTAAATATATATATATATATATATATATATATATATAG